AATTATTTCCTATTTGCAAACAGCTGCTGCACGCAGAACGGGCTCCAGGGGAGAGAAATGTTCTGGCTCGATCCATTTGGACCTGCAGCAGAACTTTTTAGGGTCAGGTTGAGGCCTCTAATCCTAAGGACACTGCTGCAGCTCTCAAGCACGGTGGTGGTAGCATCATGCTTTGAGGCTGAAAGGCTACTAGTTACAGTTACCTTTAAAATTCTTTTACTTCAACATAAAATAAAGAAATATAAAAAAAAGACTGATCCGGGATCAGGGATCCGACTCCTTTAGTCCAACAGTGACTGAATCAGCTCCTCATGCAGGGTGGAGGTGAGCCGATACCTCAGGACTATCGGATTTAAATGCCGCAGAGCAGTGATCCTAAATGCATCCAAACTTGTTCTGGAATGATTCAAATGGATCTGTCTAAAAAACAACACAGAATCAATTTAAAAGAACCGTTCTGATCATCAGAGCGGTCCGTTCTGCAGTTCCCTCCTGAGTAAAGGGGTACACTACAGGCAGCCGTGATCATGCAGGACCAGAGGGGTCCGTATGCATTAGGGGCCACGTTACACTGTGCATGGTTCAGGTATTCAGAGGTAATCTGCACCAAATTTTAGCGCCAAAACCTGCATCTTTGACTACAATCTACTGGATCTTCATCCGTCAGAGCAGCAGCATGGAGCTCTGATTCAGTCCTTCTGGCCCCGCTGACTCGACTGAGGATCAGGACAGGTTAGCAGAGGATTTAACAGAGTGTGATGAAGCAGAGGAAGGGGTCGGGTCCCTGGCTGCTGCTAAATGCCTCCTCCTCCCGCTGATCTTCACATGGGACGGCTGGAATGCCAGCTTCAAGTTAAAACATGTGACCACAAACTCATCCCTGGTCAAACCATCCCTGATTGATCAGGCGTCACAGGAAAAAAAACTATTTCCTACTTTAAAGCCCAGTTTTAGCCTGTTGCTGCTCTGATTTAATACATCAAAACTGTATTTCTGGGTTTTCCTTCTCTTCCAGCTGCTGTTTTTGGATCATCTTTCCTTTCCAAACGGTCTCTAAATGCTCCTTTTCTCTCCGCGCTTCTTGGCAAACATCCTGTTTACAGAGCAGCAGAAGCGAGGCCTAATGACGTTAGAAACACGGGAATTCAATTCGGACAAATTAGGGCTGATTCATGAGCTGGAGTCTGATGAGGAGGATCCTCGGGCCTGCAGAGAGCGTCCTGACAGCTGCCTGCACAGATCAACTTTAGCAGAAAAACAATCACATCCCTGTGAGTAAAGCTGGAGGAACTTTATCTCAGATCCACTTATTATAAAATCCACTTAAAAAACAGACTATTTAATTTATGTGGTTTAAAGAATGAACAAATCCTCAAGTTGTAATGAGATCAACTTATTTAATCATTTCCAAAATCTCAGATAAGATGTTTAGACTAAAAAAAATGTAAACAAAAATAAAAACTAATTAACATACATCTGTAATCATTTTAAAAGGGACTTGACTTATAGTTGTATAGCCTTACATTTAATCAATATATATTGATTTTTACTATATTTTGCAGATGATTCTGATCTAAAGACATTTTTAGTGTTTTAACAAAATAAAGAAATTATCATATTTCACTTTAGGTACTATATGATGTATATCCTTAGTTCTACGTCAGAGAATACAATTTTTTTATTAAAAAACACATTTTTATAATTTTTTTTTATTTTTTCTCAGGCCAGTTTATCCAATAAACCTTAAGCGTATTTCTTCTTTAAAAATGTATAAAATTAAAATAATAATAGTTTAGTTTTTTTTTTGTTTGTTTAAGTTTCCGTCCTTCATTTTGAATTTACGACATGAAGCTGGATCCAGGAAACACCTGTCGACCGCAACAGGTAACAGTTTTCGTCCAAAAAAAACGGATAAAACTCGGATAAAATAGAATTTTCTTGGTGTAAAATGTCAGGAGGAACACACTCACCTGTTAGCTGGTTTAATTTCGGGTCTTCGCGTCGGAAAGATAAGCTTTTTCTCCTCCTTTCTCCCCTTTTTCTGTCTGCCTGCCGTCTTGGTAAAGCAAGCCCCGCCTCTGCCTCGTGCCTGGCATTCTTCGATGTTTAGACTCCAAATATGGTTCGCCTGCTTCCGCCACGTCACCAGCTGCGTCCCGGTTTCCGCCCTGTTGACTCACCTGTGCCATGACTCATCTGAGCTCGGTTTCACTCGGGGTTTTCCGGAGAAATGCAGCCTGTGGGAGCTAAAGCTGGGAGTGATGTGTTAAAAGCTAAATCTAAAAAAAAAAAAAAAATAATAATAAACATGATTGAAATAATTAGTTAAATTTGCCCTTTTTTTAAATTAATTTAGAGTCGAAATTCAAAATTGGAAATATAAACAGTTACCTGGAACTTGTGCTTCTTTTTAAATGTCTCTATGACTAATTTAATGATCATGACTAAAATAGCATAATTATAGAGATGACTGATTGCTTAAGCAATCTAAATAGCTACTGGTTTTCTTACATAAAGATTTGATTTATTTTTAGATGTTTTTTTAAGGATCTAAATAAAAAGTTCTTGTTTTTTGGCGGTCTGGTAAATGTTGAAACTTTTCACATATCAGTCCAATGTATGAACATTTTCTGAGGATTTTTTCAGCATTTAGTTATTGTTGTTATTTGGTTGTTCAATCTGTCAGCTTTAGATCTATTCACCCGTTTATAACATCATTTCATGCCCATGTTTGTCTTTTACCTAAAACATGATAAATCCATTTGAAATGATATGTTTAAATTACAGTAAGCTGCAAATCCATCCATCTATCAATTTTCCATCAGCTGGGGTCTTGAGGGGTGCTGGTGCCTATCTCTAGCTGTCTATGGGCGTGAGGCGGGGGGCGGGGTCCACCCTGGACAGGTCGCCAGTCCATCACAGAGCAATACAAACAACCATTCACACACACACTCACACCTAAGGAGAATATACTGACAGCCATGCTAACTATGTAGGGGCAGTTATAGCCATGCTCACTATGTAGGGGCAGTTATAGCCATGCTCACTATGTAGGGGCAGTTATAGCCATGCTCACTATGTAGGGGCAGTTATAGCCATGCTAACTATGTAGGGGCAGTTTTAGCCATGCTAACTATGTAGGGGCAGTTATAGCCATGCTAACTATGTAGGGGCAGTGATAGCCATGCTCACTAGAGCTAGAACAATGTCCGGCGTACCTGACATGTAACAACCAGACCATGCATAATGCTTTAGGTTAATAGACTATATTAATTAGGCTGTGTTTGCTTCCACAAACTAAAACAGTAACTATAGTCCACCATCCTCCTCCTTTCATAACTAAAATAAAGCATCTAATTATTCTATGTTTTAGTGAAAGTTGTCACAACATAGAGGATTGTCCATTCCTTAGTGCAAATAAATCAGTTGCTTGTATCTTATATTAATAATACTAGTTAGGTTTTTGGACCAGTAACTGGACTGCAGTGTTGAGCAGTTGGCAGCATTATTGCCTTGCAGTTGGAAAGAGTGTATTCAACTATTCACCCCAGTTAAATAAACAGAGATTGATGGATTTCACGCAGTTGGCACTTTATTTTCATATCTTTGCAAAGAGAGAACAATTCATCATACAGCCCTTACTGCTCTGTATTCAGCCCCGTTCTGCCTGGGCAGAGTGTGTTCCCCTGACTTACAACAATGGAGAGTAGTCAGAGCTAAAAAAAACAAATTACAGACACTTTGGTGAAGCAGTTACCATGTTATGAATAAACCTTGAGAAAGAATCTGGCTTGTTGTGGGAAGAAGCTTGGTCTGGTCAACAAACATCCTCATGTAGATAATGGTGTGGCCTTGCAGGTGAAACAGGCTGAGTGGAAACTTTTATAGTGAGTAAATAGGATAAATTAATATATAAAGTAAGGGAAATCAAGATTTTCCAACCATTCGCTGTCTTTCTGGAGGTTGTGCTGTTGTGCAGACGGATGAATGAAACGCAGCGTATGAACAAATGACTTACTTTAGTTTAAATACAAACACAGTGTTACAGTTTAAATGTTTATTTAGTGATTAGATCTGGAAAAAAGAATTAGGAAGTGAAAATTATTTAATTTGACCTCCTATCCTTCCTACAGTCCGTATTGTAACTGATCCTCATTAATGTTGCGTTTCTTATGATTTTCTAATTCTCAAAAGCCATTATTTAAACAAAGTAATTAGATTACAAAATATGTTTCTCAATTTTTACCCACAAATATCTGCAGACGAGAAATGTTACAGCAGGCGTCCAACTTAGACTCAAAGTATTAGTTAGAGCTATATTTAACAATAAATCAGCTGCCTGCAAATGATCCTTTTTTATTAAGTTAATTTAAATTTATATCCTCCTAAGAAGGATTTATTTATTTTACCCCTCTTGCTTCCTTCCTGCATTAAAAACAGATTTTTGGTTATTATACTTTTAGCTCCCAGATCATTGAAACTAGTTTAAAATGAGGATTTAATCATAGATTGTGAATCACTGCTCATAATGCAGGCTCTCTGGCGTTAATGTCACTTTAAATCTGTGTTCCTGGTGGAAAGAAACCACTAGGTGGCGCTAGATGTTCACTAAAACACAAATACATTCATTGCCCAACTGATTTCCTTAGAAGTTTTAATAAGGAAATAAAATGTATGAATAAAGGAAACTATTGATGAGTGGAAAATGTCATCCATGTTCTATTTTTTTTAAGAATACAGTACAAACTTTATTTAAAATGATTACAGTAAAAATACTAGATAAACACAAAGTAGTTCAAAACGGAGAACACATCAAATCCTCCTTTAAAAAAAATACTTTTGACTTCTGTGAAATTTTACTAAACGTCAACAGGTCCAGAGATGTGAAATATGTTTATTTTCACTCTGAATTAAATGTTTGTTTTGATTGAATGAAATATTAAAGCATATTAGATTCCCACCGTGGTTAAAAGTGGAGGCATGTGCCCTTTGACCTCCAGCCACTGACGCTGGAGATGGAAGCAGGCAGCTGACAGGCTGAGGACCTTCGCTGAAACACTTCAGGAGCTTTCTGAGCAGGACGACTGGCGACATGGACGAAGTGGACAACCTGTTCAACCCCAGGTACAGAGCCCTGCTTCGGTTTCTCCTCCATGTCTCTGAACGCTTGTTTCTCTACTGACACCAAATCAACCTTTTTTCTTAGGGGGTCAGATAAGGTTTGGCTGCTCTGTTTCAATCCCTGCTATTATTCTGGTGTCAGAGTTTTACCTTTAAGTCAGAAATTAGAAGAAAGTTTGAGTGGCCTTTCTTTTTATCAACTTAAATGACTTCAGTTGTGTTTTTTCTTTCTGTTTTGTTGTTCCTCTGTGTTCATGTTAGTGAGTCCTGCTAGTTCCAGATATTTTTAGCATCATAACCATTGCAGCTGTTCAGGCTCTGCATGTCAGCAGCCCTGCACCTGCTCTCTCTGTGGGTCTGTTTAGCTGCAGCGTGAGGTCATGCTTTTAAAGCTGCAACGTGAAAGGTCCTGACAGGACCATAACAAATCCATCCTTCTGCACAAATGGCCACCGATCCAAAGCCTCCAACTCTACAACTTTAAGTATTTACATTTGATTGTTGGAGAGGGAAGCTGCATAAACAAGTTTTAATAGTTTGGATTGTGTATTTTATTTTTTTCATTTTCCATAATGATGAAATTCATCTATTCAAACAGGAGGTTTAAAGCAAACTTTTCACCTTTAAAAAAAAAAAAAAAAAATAGTTTTTAACATAAAGGACTGTGTTTTTGCAAAGTCCAAATTCAGTGATACATAGTTTCAATGTAGATACATTGACAAAAAAGACAAATTTTGGTTTATAAATAAATCTTAAGTGGTACTAATCATGATAAGTTATAATTTTATCAGATATTTTAGTGATTCAGGTAATAATTAAATATGTTTGGGAAGCAGAGGTGTCAAGTAACAAAATAACAATACTTTGTTACCTTATTGGGTATCTATACTCTACTGGGGTAATTATTTTTAGATTACTTCTTACTTTTTTGCAATTATCTCTGCTTTCTACTCCTTACATTTTAAAATAGACTTGTTAGTTTTGTTTCATTTAAGCTCGTTTTTGTTATGTTGTTTTACTATAATAATAAAAAAAACAACATCAAAGTAATTGGTTTCATCCATATAATTAATTTCTTATGCAAAGTTATGCAGAGTAAAATTCGACACTGCTGCTATTAGTTATCAAACTGG